GACTGGCACACACACACACACACACACACACACACACACACACACACACACCAACTACAGTCCTGTTTTCCCTCTGTTCTCTGCCAATACCTAAGAGGTTATGCCATTCATGCAGTTTTATTACATACTGCTTTAAGTTGTTATTACTGGTCCCTATGCTGTGTCCATCATTAGAGACAGTGTCTTGTCTCCTATAGGAAAGCAATTATTGACCAACATGAGAAAGAGATTCACTACCTACAAGATGTCTTTATGGCCATGGAACAGAACTATATAGACTCTGATTATGAAAGCAAGTTGGAGTTCCAGAGTATGTGGGATGATCTCAAAAACAAGGTACAGAGGGAGAGTAGTAAGATGGGAACTGAGAGAGAAGTTGTAGAAAAATTGCTCAAAGAACTAGAGCAAGAAGAGAACGCTGCAACCCTGCAACCAATAATCAGTACCAGTCTGTTGTCACTGTAGGTGTTCATAGTGCTTTCTGGAACTTTGAGATTGGTTGAAAATGTGAGACTGGTTGAAAAGATAGAATATTCTAAAATGTCAGGGGAATGAATTTTGGACCCAAAAGAAGCACCCAAAGGATTGTGTAACCCTGTGATTTGCAAATGAAGAAACAGAACCAAAGTGAAATGACCTGTTAGAATCATGCTGGCACGTGCATGCATGTGCATGTGCGTGTGCGTGTGTGTGTGCATGTCTGTGTGTGCACGCGTGCATGTAAGTGCTTGCATGCATGTGCCCCCCCCCCCGTACTAGGGATTGAACTCAGGGCCTAGGTACTGTCCCTTACCTTTTTGCTCAAGGATGGTGCTCTACCACTTGAGCCAGAGCTCCACTGCTGGCTTTTCAGTAGTTAACTGGAGATAAGAGCTTCATGGACTTTGCTGCCTGGGAAAGATCCTCAGATCTCAGCTTAATGAATACCTAGGATTCTAGGTGTGAGCCACTGGTACCTAGTTTAATGCTGTTGATTTGTGATAGAGCCAGGAAATTTTAAATTTCCTGTTCCTTGGACCAAAGTGGTTCCCACCTTCTTAGATGTTACAAACTTAGCCACAGACCTAGGTTTGAGTATAGGGTGTAAATTTGGGTATAGGTTGTTTTTATTTTAGTCCAGCATATATGGGTAAGTTTCCAACACTAAAATAAAGTTAGAAATACAGCTGGATACCTGTAGCTCACACCTGTAATCCTAGCTACTCAGGGGGCTGAGATCTGATGATCATGGTTCAAAGCCAGGCGAGGTAGAAACCAGAAGTGGTGCTGTGGCTCAAGTGGTAGAGTGGTAGCCTTGAGCTGAAGCGTTCAAGGACAGGGTCTAGGCCCAGAGTTCAAGACCCATGACCAACAACAACAACAAAAATCTAGGAACACTGGTCCCTATTTCCTTTATGTGAAGCTGAGGAGCCACCTCCCCCATTCCAATACTGTCTTCCAGTGGAGCATTTCCTCTCTAGTTAGTCATAGCTCCCAGTCCACCCACAAAACTTAACTTTGTCACCTGCCTAGATTTAGTAGGCATTTTCATTGGTGATAACAATGCTGTGAACAGTTCACCAAAGGGCAGGCATCGGGCAATTCTAAGCCTTTGTTATTGGGGGCACATTTTCTAGAATTTAGAAGATAAACACTTTCTACGATTACAACTGGAGAACATAGTGGAAGATCTGTGGAAACGATTCCAGGAGGCACTCAAGAACTACACGGATGCCACAGAGGATCGGAAGATTGCCTTTGAGACCCTGAAAGTGAAAGATGAGAAAAGCTCCAAAGAGATTGAAGAACAGATGAAGAAAATACAGAAACTACAGGTTAGTATAGATGACTGGGAAGACAGCTTTCACTGAAGTGCCCCATTACTCCCTGCTTCTCTTCCCCTGACTTCTACCGCACTTCCTCACTGAGCTCTGGGTGGGGAGGATTGGTAAACTCCGACTTCAGTCCATAGACTGTGCTTTCACTGGTCTGACTTCAGACCCTCTGCTGGCCAAGTGCTTTCTTGATTCACCCTATCCTTTCAGGAGGCCATTACTATCTCAAGAGGCAAGATTGCAGTCCACACCCGTGAGAGTGAAGAGAAAAACCAGATTGTCCGTAATGACAAGGAGTTGATCCTTATGCAACTGAGAAAACTGAAGGCCCAAAGGACTCAGGCCCGGGAACTATCCCAGGAGAACTTAGTCAAACTTGCCTTGGAAAGTAATGCCACGCTCAAAGCCCTGCGAAAGGTTGTGGACAAGGTAACAAAGGGAAAAGAGCCATAGAACCTGGCTTAAAGTCAAAGGATCTCAGGAGAGGCTTGGGGGAGTTTCTTCCTACTTCCTGGGTGGACATTTGGGATCCTCCTCTCTTTCCATTTTAATGGAATAATAATGAAATAATTTTATAATAAAAACTGTCAGAGCTGAGTGTAGCAATTCATGCTTGTAATCCCAGCATTCACGAGGTAGAGACAGAAAGATTGTGAGTTCAAGGCCAGCTTGGGCTATCCAGTGAGACTGTTTTTAAAAAAAAAAAAAGACTGGAGGAATAGCTTAAGTGGCAGAGGGCATGCCCAGCAAGCTCAAGGCTCTGAGTTCAAACCACAGTACCACAAAAAAGCTGGGAGGAAGGCTAGGGATGTATTTTAGTAGTCAAACACTTATCGGGGCTGGGAAGGTGACTCAGTGGTAGAGCGCTTGCCTTGCATGCCTGAGGCCCTAGGTTTGTTTGATTCCCTAGCACCACATAAGCAAAAAGAAAAAAAGCCAGAAGTGGCGCTGTGGCTCAAGTGGTAGAGCGCTAGCCTTAAGCTGAAGAGCTGAGGGACAGCACCCAGGCCCAGAGTTCAGGCTCCACGACTGGACCAAGAGAAAAAAAAAAGAGAGAGAGAGAGAGGCTAAGGTGGTAGTTCAAGGAGTAGGGTGCCTGTCTTGTGAGAATGAGGCCCTAAGTTCAGACTCCAGTACAAATACAAATTAAATATATAAGCAAATAATTAAGTGTAATGAAATTCTTGGAACAGTGCTTGGTACATGGTAAGCACTGTCAAATGTATTATTACCATTGTCTCCCATTTGGATAAGAAGCCTCCTTGGGCTCAAATGGGGGCAACTACTCCACTGTCTTCCCTCCCCACCTTCTTCCCTAATAAGTTTCCCTGCTTCCAACAGGGTGAAAAGATCCTTAAACTTGGTGAAATCTGTAGGAAATTTGAAAGTGAAGAAGAGAAAATATTGCCTTTCTATTCATCACTGTTGACCCCTAGGGATATGGAGGACATACAGTTTCAGTTCCTGGAACAGCTTTCTCACGAGGAGGAACTGGCAACGGTAAAACTATGGGATGGTAGTGTGCGGGGTGGCATTTGCTAATGGATCCTTCCACATAGCTCTTCCCTCTAACTCCATTCCACTCATCCTCCAGGTGATGAAGGACTACGAAGGGATGGAGAACTTCTGGAAAAGATATAATAAGGTGAAACTGGAGCTAATGAGCCTCAAACACCGACGAAACCAGCTGCTAGCTATCAGCGAGAAGTTACGGGAGATGCTGAAGCAGTACTTGGATGGCATCACAGTGAGTGATGAAGTGCTGAGCCAGATCAACCCCCTCTTCATAGTCAACAATCGAAGCAACTTACCCCAGCCCTTGTCCACACCTGCAACCCACGCAAATAACAAACGACCTTCAACTTCTTACAACGTCATTGAAGCAGCCCATGTGATCTCCCACACCCTGTGATCCAAAGAAAAAAATCTTTCCAACCTCTAGAGAGACCTGAATGCTTTGTTATTAAAAACTTCCACAGAGTTTATGACCACCTTTTCTCTTTGCTATATTGGACAAAGAAGTCCACTTTGAGGACATTAGGAACACTGCAGAAAATAGCTAGGAGGCTTAGTACTCGATGAAATCTGTCAGCATTATGGCACCATGGGACTGTGGACCTAGAGGTACCATGGATGCATTCAAGACCAGGTCTTTAGGGTAAGTTAAAGCACCAAGAGGAGGCAAGGGCAAGAATGAATGCAAGGCCTCCAACCACTCCCACACTAGGCAAAATCCAATTCCAAAAGGCTTTTTCCCCCCAGCCTCACACCACATCCCTACTTACAAAAGCAGCCTCAGAAAGGTGTCAGGTAAATAATACAAAAAAGTTTTCAAAATTACTATTTATTTATTTTTACTCTTGTTTCGTTTCTCTTCTTTGAGCTTCTTTTTGGAGACTTTGGGTTTATTGGCCTTTTGGTACAAGTGATAACCAATGAGGCCCAGGAGGGATGGCACCATAGCCATGCCTACCATAGGCAAAACGCCCTTCACCAGCTTTTGCCAGTAGTTGGCTCGGATCAGTGCAACCAGCTCCACGTCATACTGCACCACTGCATCCGCTGGAGAGGCAGAGGGGAGGGCAGGGTTAGAATGTCTGTGTATTTTATCCTGAATCTCAATGCAAACAGGAAGGATGGGCCACAGCAAAGCCAACTATGAAGCAGGCAGATTGAAATGTGGGAATGAGTTCCCTAGACAAAGGTTGAGGAGGATTAGACAGAGTCTAGTGATAGTTATTGGTTTTAGTTGCCATGTAGCACGGGCTTAAGGTCAGATCTTTAACAGCACAGGAAAGCTGTGAATATGAAATCTACAGGTTCTTCTCATTATTTTTGTCTTTGAAGTTTAGCTAGATTTATTTAGAAAAACAGAATATGGAGAAATAGAAAAGTAAAAGAAGACCCTCTCCTGCCTGACACACAGTCAACAAACCCCATTTTGAAACAGCCACATGAACAGAATCTTTGCAGAACTGAAACTAATTGGATTTAAAGTAGACATCTTTTTTTTTTCTCTTTCTTTCTTTCTTCTTTCTTTCTGGCCAGTCCTGGGACTTGAACTCAGGGCCTGAGCACCGTCCCTGAGCTTCATTTGCTCAAGGCAAGCACTCTACCACTGAGCCACCTTCCCAGCCCTAGACACCTTTTAAATTCCACCAACCAATGAGTGTACTCAGTGTGATTATAAGAAAACAGGAGCTTTGGGCTGGGAAGGAGGCTCAGTGGTAGAGTGCTTGCCTTGCATTCATGAGGCCCTGGGTTTAATTCCTCAGCACCACAAAGCAGAAAAAGCTGGAAGTGGCGCTGTGACTCAAGTGGTAGAGCACTAGCCTTGAGCTGAAGGACAGCACCCAGGCCCAGGACCAGAAAAAGAAAGAAAGAAAGAAAGAAAGAAAGAAAGAAAGAAAGAAAGAAAGAAAGAAAGAAAG